AACATGGTAAACCCAATTTCTACAAAACAAAAAAGGAAAAATTAGCCAAGCATGGTGGTGTCTGCCTATAGTGCCAGCTACTCAGGAGGCTGAGGTGGGAGGATAGCTTGTGCCTGGGAGGCAGAGGTTGCAGGGAACCGAAATCACACCATTGAATTCCAGCCTGGGCAAGAGAGCCAGACCCTGTCTTTCTCTATATATATTTCTGTAATGACATGCAATTTACCACATGCAATAAACAGATGTGATGTCTGGCTTCTGAGCCTCAATTCTTATTATTGGAGAATGCACTGGGGTTTGGTCTGAAATTGTACAAAGTTTGGTCCATACCTAAAAATTAAATGTTCAGACTAATACATGAGTTTATTTTCTTGTTTTTTTCTCCTACATACAAACTTCATAAAGTAAACAGTAGTTTATTGAATACAATGATCACTGAAAAGAGAAAATCAGAGTTTTACTATAATAAGCTTATCCTGTGTGTGGTAAGTAACTTACTCAAGTGGAGAAGAATCACATAACACTCACTTAAGCAGAGAGGGATCAGGTAATTAAAGAATATTTGTTTGTTTTTTATCCTAGAATTATTTAAGTAAGAGGGAAACGTCTCAGAAGTACAAAAATATTTACTAATAATTGACTGCTTACAAAATTAGCTCCTATCCACAAACTCAAAGACTACTGTCTATGTTAGGTAGCACCTTATTGATTATTTGTCAGTTCTGTGCTTCGGCAATGCAAAGCAATTGCAGATCCAATAAATCTTGCCCCCAAAATGCAGGATTTTGTAATGCCTATGAAAGAGAGAAAGCTTCTTTAGTTGAACACAAAGCCATTTGACACATAAGGATCTAGTAAAGTCAGATGGTTAACAATTAAGAGAAAAATGGAGAAGAATGATTGTAAGATAAATGCTTCAGAGGAGAAAGATTTAAGTACCAAAGATGAAAGAGAGGCTTTTGGGAAAATTGATGAAGGCTTCAAACACTTTCACAAAAGTGCTTCTCTTGATTACCACACTGTGAAAGTCAAATATGAAATGAAAGATATGGTATCTTCTGCCACTGAAATTAGTCAGAAAAAAAAACTATGCCTGTCCAGAATCAATCACTGCTTGATTCATGCTGTGTTCATTCTGACATCTTATGTGTAGTTGCATTTATAACCTAAATTATGGTAACTTTAGAATCAAATTTTGTAATTTTCTTCTCATTTTTTGAGATAAAATTTCAATCAAACATTTTACAATTTGGTATACATTTTTGGTCCGCATTTTAATTGCATTTCTTTTAAATGGTCTTTTTCCAGTAGAGCATCACTTCCTGTAATGGGACAACTGTCACTTCCGGGAATAGAATCTCATGAAATGATAGATTTGAATTTTCAGAAGCCATCATGTTTACGACTCTTTTCCAAATAAAGAAATTAAGACTGAATGAGATCGTTACCTGTCCAAAGGTTATAAACAAACTCTATGAAACATTTTAATGGAGTGTAAAAATCCCAATTTGGCTAAAATAATTTTTAGACAACAAGGATGATTCTTTTGAAGACAGTGCTTCTAAACTTGAAACCATTGCTTTTTCTACTTTTTTGAGACAGAATCTCACTCTGTCACCCAGGCTGGAATGCAGTGGTGTGATCTTGGCCCACTGAGACCTCTGCTTCCCATGTTCAAGCAGTTCTCTGCCTCAGCCTCCCAAGTAGCTGGGATTACAGGCACCCACTACCACGCCTGTCTGATTTTTTTATTTTTAGTAGAGATAAGGTTTCACCATCTTGGCCAGGCTGGTCTTGAACTCCTGACCTCATGATCCACCTGCCTTGGCCTCCCAAAGTGCTAAGATTACAGGCGTGAGCCGCTGCGCTCAGCTGAAATCATTTCTTTATATAAGAACAACTACTACGTTTGCCATATTTTGTTCTTATATATTCTGTATCTACCACTTCCTCTGGAATTGTCATTCTCTGCTCATCCTACAAATCACTTCCAGCTCAGTGTTTATTTTTATTTTCTCCTTCACTTACTATAATCTGTGGTGAATCATTATGCAATTAATTCAAATTACCAACATATCATTCTAATAATCTTTTTAACTACACTAAAATGAATGTGGTCCTGACTTAGCAGGTACTGTCTAGAATAGGAAACCATATAAATGTACCTGCTTTGCTGTTGTTCCAGGGATGATGACAATATCATGTTCTTACAGTGTTTTTTTCTCCCCATTTCCACCCCACTCAGCATCCCTACCTCTCCATTTGCCCCAGACTTCTCAAAGTGGTGATCCATGATTCACAAATGGCCTATAACATGTTTTCTTCCCAAACCTATATGATTTTTTAAAATTCGATTTAGTGGCCAGCTTCAAAAAATTGAAATCCAGATTTCTAGCTTCTCTTGAGAAAAAAAAAAAAAAAAAAGACCAGATCTTGCAATAATTATTTGCCATCTGCACCAGTCAGCTAAGGCTTGGTAACAACCAAACCCTTTTGCTCAGCACCACTTTGAAGTTTTCATAAGTCCCATCAAGCTCTGTGGTTCCCTGAAAACATAGAATGTTGATAGTTATTTTGTGTTTGTGCTAGTCTTTTCCATATAGCGTAATTAAGGTGAAATATGTCTTGTATTCATATCCCTGGAGAAAGTAGGAGAATGGAAAAGACAGGGAGGTGGCAGATAGCCCTCTTACACTCATTTGTTTCACTCAAGGATACTGTGGGTACTACAGTTGGCAATACCTGATTCAGCCTATTGCTTCAATGCCATTTAATGTTTGTATTAGTCAGGATTCTCCAGAGAAACAGAACCAATAGGTGATAAACATGTATATATTTAATATTATATGTTAAATGTATGTATGTGTGTGTGTGTGTGTACATATATATGTACCTATGTCTCTATCCCTATCTATCTATATACATATGGGGAGAGGGAGGATTTATTATAAGTGATCGGCTCATGTGATTATGGAGGCTAAAAAGTCCCAAGAGCTGCTGTCGGCAAGCTATAAGCTGAGGAAAGCCGGTGGTATTGTTCCAGTCCTGAGTCTAAGGACTTGAGAATTGGAGAGCTAATGGTATAAATTCAAGTTCAAGTTCAATCTGAAGGCCTGAGAACCAGGAGTATTGAGAGCAGAAAAAGATTGATATCCCTCTAACAGTAAGAGAGAAAGAATGAGTCCTCCATTCCCCCATGTATTTGTTTTATTTAGGCCCCCAACAGATTGGATGAGGCCTACCCACATTAGGGAGAGCCATCTACTGAGTCCACTGGTTCAAATAGAAGCACACTCACAGACACTTTAAGAAATAATATTTGACCAGCTATCTAGGCATCTCGTGGCCCAGTCCAGTCAACATGCAGAATTAACCATCCCAGTGATCATGTAGTAGAAATGAAGAATATGAATCAGTACAAGAATTAATGCACAAAAAAGGGTAGATATGCTTCACATACCAAGGGGTATGTCATCAGAGATATTCCACCAATGTTGGGAAGTTCACACTACAAATCTTAAAAGCAGAAGGTTTTCCTACTGGACTACTGTATATATAATTGTCAGACTGTTTGTTTGCAATCTCTTGCCCTTAAACCCAGGGAATTTGGGGACCTGCCAGAAATGAAAAGAAGGCAACACAAGTATCCCTCTTGATATTTACAGCTTAAGAATCATCCTGGATATATTTGCTTATTTTCAGCTTCCTTCCCTCCTCCTTTTACATGTGTGTTGTTAGGAGGATCCGTGCTATCTTAACCTGATTTAAACTTAAATGGAAACATTTGTCTGTTTTATCATGATAAAGAACAAACTAGCGCCTTTTTCCTCTTCCCCAGTAAAGAAATCTTTAGAATGTGCAAAACTGTTGATAGCAAATCCCAATTCCCGAAAGACAGACCGATCATTTACTTAGTTTTCTACCTTGGGGGCTACACTGGAGATCTCAAAGGTCAAGTCCCAAGTCAAAGCTTGAGTGGAATATTTTAAAATACAGCCAGTAACCAAGAGAGTTAAAAGCTCTTTGGCATGCTTATATCTGACCTTCATCTATTAACCTCAAGGAAAGGTAATGAAACTTGCATTCATGAGAGATGATATTATCTACTTCAGGATAAATCTATTTAATGAATAAGTAATAAGCAAAATTTTAAAGACAATGAAATTCCTGGGGACTCTTAGAAAATTTAAATTTGCAATTTGGGAATGTGTTTACCATATGACTATGAAAATGATAATGAGCCCACAATTTCTGAGCCAGAAAATTTCTTCATTACTAAATAATGCACTAGAAAGAAAACAAACCACCACCATAGGCATCTGCAATGGCCAATGTGGATTAAATGTGGATTTTAGAACCTTGTTTTAACTAGCTGTATTAAAATACCCTTGTCACAGCATTGAACAATAATCAAGACACTAGGAAGGAGACAAGGAATAGAAAGACATGAAACAGCTCAGATAGAACTATCTTCATCATCAGTGACGTGTAGAATGATTCGAGGGACAGGAGAAAGTTAACCTTGGTGAGCGAGTTTAATTTGTGTATGTTTGTCTATTTATACTCAGGTAAGACAAAAAATTAAGTGACAGCATATAATCATGCCTTGATTCACCATTTTCAGAGCCCCACTCCACCCATAACCATTACTTACTGAGGAAACGGGGAACTCCACAGGCATCCAAGACGCTTCACTATCTAGCTGTCACTTCTTTGCTTTAAACAGACTTTCTACTATTCCGCTCAAGAGGTAGTAAAACCTAGTGGTTAAGAATCTGTGATTAAATTCTCATTCTACCACTAACTAGTTATGGGATAAGGTCACACAATTTATTTTGGCCTCCATTTCTCCACCTATAAAAGAAGGTTACTCATCATAGGCTTAAACAAGGATTAAATGAGATTGTCTATGTCACGTGCCTACGCACGTCCCTGACATAGAGTAGGTATACTAGAAATGTTAGCTATTAGCTTCTCTCTATTTTATGGCAGTGACCTACCTTCAGGGTTTTGTGAGGTTTTAGCCCTTCCTGTTCAAAGGCTCTGCCCATCTCATCTCTTCAAGTCCAAATTAATCCTTCAAATGCCTCTCCAGATAGCTCCCCAATACCCCAACTCCTCTGAAAATCACAGTTCACCTCTCCTGCCTCCTCTTCTGTTCCCTGAAAGACACACTCAGCAACTGAGCATCAGCTCCATGAGGACAGGAAGCAGGACCCTGCCATTTTCTTCATATGCTGGCAACCCCAGCATCTAACAAGTATTAGGTGTTGGGTAAATACTAGGTGATGAGAGAGGCAGAGAGAAGGAAAGGTGAAATGAGGGGAGAAGAAGGGAGCCTGAGAAAGAAGAGGCAAATGCAGGGTGAGAACACAAATGCATGCAAAAGCAGCCACCCATAGAAGGCCAAGGAAGGAAGGACAAAGTGGGAGAGAGTAAGAAGCAGATTAGAGGTAGCTGTGACATTCCCCTCCGCGGCTGCTGCTGCCAGCCTGTAAATGGCTCCTGCAGCTCTTCAGTGGGATCTCTGCTAGAATAAAGCAGCTCTGTGTAAACAATGTCCCTGTGTGGTCATCAAGGAATGTGTAATAGGCTCTCTGTGTGAAGGAATATATAATAGACTCTCTGATGAGATCGCCACTTTGCCCCTTGCTATTTCTGTGTGCCGCTCTGATCCAATCTCAGAATATATTACAACTAGGACCACTGGAATTTTAGTGTTGATGGAGCTGAAGGGGAGAAGGAGAAGCCTTAGTAAGGCTCACAGATTTTGAATGATGATGACCACCACCACCACGCCTGAGCTGCAGTCAGCCCCAGCCTTGCAGTCTGTGGAAATCATTCTCACTATGATGCTTGTTCACAATTCTGGCTCTTTCCTCACCTATGCTCTGTAGTGGCTGCTGCCTGTTATCCCTAAAGGATAGATTGGGGGGATTTTTGTCTATTTTCAGCCATCCTGTTAGAACTCAGTAAGTAATCCTCTTTCAGGGGTGTCTCTACCTGATATTTTCACTATATACTATCTAAACACAAGCCACTGAAGAGGTCCTGATAAGAAAGGTCAAGCTGGGCGTTGCTGGGGGCAAGAGGTTGTCACACCTGGATTCTCCTCCACAGAACCCTGCTCTCCAGAGCTCAGGGTAAACTTACAGGCTACATGCACAGCTGCTTGTGATATGTGGCTTCAGAGATGTAGGAAAAAGCCTTACTCCCAAATTCTCCCAGATTGGCCTCTGCTTTATCAATGATCATGGATGGAGGTAAGGCACAGCCTACACATACCTTGCAATAATAAATAGAGTTACATCTACTATGTCACTAGTCTAGCACTATGCATTTTACAGATATTATGTGGTTTGAATTCATCCCTATACCAATTGTATGAATTCATATATTCATTTTTACAACAGACAGATACTAAGTAGTTACTATGTTCCCAAAAAAAAGATGGATAAAGGAGTTTACAAAACCAGGTCCCCACTCTCACTGTTTTACAGAAACAACCAATATATATACAACATATCAGGGATTACAAATCCTGAAGAAAATAGGCAGAGCACAGTCATGGAATAGAGATGTGATTGGGATGGGGAGGACTGTTATTTTATTCCATGGAGTCACAGAATGTCTCTCTGATAAGGGCAGTCTTGAGCAAAGATTGCAAGCAAAAAAAGAACTAAATGCTCTGAGAAAGAGAGGTACAATCATGGTGGCCAGAAGTGCAAAGGCCCTGAGGTGTGAATGCATCAAGTATTTCTCAGAAATATGAAGGCTAGTGTGGCAGGAGTGGAGTGAAAAAGAGAACTGGTAAGGGTGAGATTAGGAGAAAATGGCATCCCAGTTGATATGGTTAGGCTTTGTTTCCCCACCAAAATCTTGCCTTGAATTGTAATCCCCAGGTGTTGATGGAGAAATGGTTCCCCCATGCTGTTCTCATGATAGTGAGTGAGTTCTCATGAGTTCTGATGGTTTTAAGGGGCTCTTCCCCCTTTGCTTCCTGCATATGCTGTCTTCTGACACCATGTGAAGAAGGTCCTTGCTTCTTCTTGGCCTTCTGCTATGATTGTAAGTTTCCTGAGGCCTCCTCAGCCATGCAGAACTATAAGTCAATTAAACCTCCTTTGCTTATAAATTATCCATTGTTGGGCAGTATCTTTTTAGCAGGGTGAGAAGAAAATACCACACCAGCATTCCACCAGTATTCTAGCTTTTCTCCTCTGCCTCAAGACCAGGCAGGTCCATTATAGGGGTTGTTCCACTGGCCTGGTTCCCCAGAATAAAAAGGTAAATGCAGCTAAAGCAGCAACATAAAGCTGCTGATGTTTAACATGAAAGAAAACTAAATGTTTACTGTTTTGATCCCACCAAATTATTAAGCTTTTTGTTACTGCAGCAAAGCTGCATGGTACTACAAAGGAGGATTCTACCTGGCTGTCTTTATATTACATGCCCACTCTTGGAATGAACAGTGTTCTCAGGAGAGTGGGGCACTATATTACCAAAGACAGCCCTGGCTAGACTGTGGTAACAACCCCCCAGATCTTCATGGTTTAACAGATCAAACTATTCAAAGCACACAAAAACCAGTGCCTATAGTGCCTAACAGAAAGGGCTCTTCTCCATTAAGTGACTCAGGATCTAGACTCACTTCTTCTGTGATGCTTGGTCTAAGTGTCTGGCCTGCAGGGTCCCAGGATGTGTGAAAAAAAATTGGAAATATACAAAGGATGTTTTAAAGGGCATGCCTGGAAGTTGCATATACCATTTCCATCCATATCCCACCAAATAACATGGCCCCACGTAACAGTAAGAGAAGCTAGAAAATAATGAAGTTATTCTATGCCCAGGAAGAGGGGAAAAATGAATTTGTTTATTCTAGGACACAGTCTCCACAGTAAGCACTAGTTTGACTGAGCCTAAGCCATGTACCCTCCTCTGTGGTCAAGATTTTGGCTTTATTACAAAAGGAGGATGAGAAAAATGCATAATCCTAAGAAACTGTAAACACTGTTTACTCTGTGAGGTAGGATTGTAGCAGATCACTAAGGGAAGCACAGTGGCCTAGGAATCAGGAGACTTGAGCTCTGGTCCTATATGTGTTCTCTTACAGAGAGTAATTTACAATAGACACCCTGCTTCTGGAATCTATTTATGTGTAAAGTGTCAAAACCAACTTTAAAGATTTTTGTTTTGGGTAAAATAGAAGGCCCAGAAATAAACTCTCCATATATAGTCAACTCATTTTGACAAGGGTACCAAGACCATTTAATGGGGAAAGGACAATCTTTTCAACAAATGGCACTGGGAAGTCTGGGTATCCATATGCCAAAGAATGAAATCGGACTCTTACCTTACATAATATACAAAATAATTGAAAATAGCTCAAAGACCTGAATGTAAGAGCTAAAACTATACAACTCTTAGATGGAAACGTAAAGGTAAAGCTTACTTGACATTGGATTTGGAAATTACTTCTTGGATATGACACTAAAAGGGCAAGCACCAAAGATAAAAATAGATAAATTGAACTATATAAAAATGTTAAAGGTATGCATCAAAAGGCAAAATCAACAGAGTGAAAAGACAACCTAGCAGAATGGGAGAAAATATTTGCAAATCATATATCTAATAAGGCGTAATTTTCAGAGTATATAAAGAACTTCTAAAGCTCAACAAAAAATAAATAACATGATTGAAAAATAGACAAAAATTAAATAGATATTTATCCAAAGAAGATATACAAATGACCAACAAACACGTGAAAAGATGCCCAGTACCATTAATCATTAGAGAAATGCAAATGAAAACCACAATGCGATACCAACCACCTCATGCCTATTAGGATAGCTATTGTCATTTCAAATAAAAGAAAAACAAACTAGTGTTGGTGATGATATGACAAAATTGGAACACTTGTACACTGATGGTAGAAATGTAAATTTTGCCATCCCTATGAAGAAAAGCACAACAGTTCTTTTAATAAGTTAAAATTACCATATGATCCAGTAATTCCACTTCTTTCTGAATACACACAAAGTAATTGAAAGCAGGTCCTCAAATAAATATCTGCTTACCCAAGTTCATAGCAGAATTATTCATAATATTTAAAAGGTAGAAGCAATCCAAGTGTCCATAAAAAGATAATTGGATAAACAAAATGTGGTATATGCATACAATAGAATGTTATTCAGCCACAAAAAGGAAGGAAATTTTGAAAGGTACTACAACATGGATAAACTTTGAGAATATTACGCCAAGTGAAATAAGCCATTCACAAGAAGACAAGATATTATTCCACACATATAAAGTACCTAGAAGAGGCAATGTCATAGAGACAGAAAGTATAATAATAGGTACCATGGGCTAACAGAAGGGGGAAATGAGGAGTTATTTTTTAATGAGTACAGAGTTTCAGTTTTGCAACATGAAAATGGTTTTGGAGATGGGTGGTGGTGATGGCCACACAGCAATGTGAATGTCCTTAACACTCTGAACTATACACTTAAAAATGGTTAAGATGCAGACAAAAGGGAGGCCAAGGTGGGCGGATCATGAGGTCAAGAGATGGAAACCATCCTGGTCAACATGGTGAAAACCCGTCTCTTCTAAAAATACAAAAATTAGCTGGGCATGGTGGCGCATGCCTATAGTGCCAGCTACTAGGGAGGCTGAGGCAGGAGAATTGCTTGACCCAGGAGGTGGAGGTTGCAGTGAGCCAAGATCTTGCCATTGCTCTCCAGCCTGGGTAACAAGAGTGAAACTCCGTCCCCCCCCCAAAAAAAAAAAAAAAAAAAAAAAAAAAAAAAAAAAAAAAAAAAAAAAAAAAAAAAAAAAAAAAAGATGCAGACAAAAACAAGCAATGAGGAAAGGACTCCCTATTTAATAAATGGTGTTGGGAAATTGGCTAACCATGTGCAGAAAGCTGAAACTGGATCCCTTCCTTACACCTTATACAAAAATTAACTCCAGATGGATTAAAGATTTAAACATAAGACTTAATACTATAAAAACCCTAGAAGAAAACCTAAGCAATATTATTCAGGATATAAGCATAGGCAAGGACTTCATGACTAAAACACCAAAAGCAATGGCAACAAAAGCCAAAATAGACAAATGGGATCTAATTGAACTTAAGAGCTTCTACACAGCAGAAGAAACAATGGTTAGAGTGAACCAGCAACCAACACAATGGGAAAGAAATTTTGCAAGCTGCCCATCTGACAAAGGGCTAATATCCAGAATCTACAAAGAACTTAAACAAATATACAAGAAAAAACAAACCACACCATCAAAAAGTGGGCAAAAGATATAAACAGACACTTTTCAAAAGAAGATATTTTATGTGGCCAGCAAACATATGAAAAAATGCTCATCATCACTGGTCATTAGAGAAATGCAAATCAAAACCACATTGAGAGACCATCTCAGGCCAGTTAGAATGGCGATCATTAAAAAATCAGGAGACAACAGATGCTGGAGAGGATGTAGAGAAATAAGAACACTTTTACACT